GTGTGAACTCCTAACCTACCGATCTTCATCCAACTAAAGTGACCTCCATTTGAAATGGTCACATGCTTAATTTTATCTAGTTCGAAATTTTCGATTTTATGGTAATCAATAATTTTTTATTAAAAAATGAGAAAAAAATTTGATTTTTGTAAAAATATAAGCATCAGTCGAAATTTACATAAATCAAATCCACAAAACCCATAAATTCAGGTTCCGTATATAGCTGCTCGATATTTTGGGAATAATTTAAAAAAATTAAAAAAACTGCAAAAAATAGAATGTAATAAATGTTGGTAGACTTTTTTGTTATTAATAAATATGTTCTCTCTTTATAAATGTATAGATTATATAAAAGAAATCTCCTACAAATTGTTTTTTTAGTTTCTTGTCTTGTATTCTTTATTCATAATAAAATGACTTATTTAATAAATTTTATGATATATTTATATTGAAAGACTTAAATGTATTAATAAATTAAATAAACAATTAAGTTGTTTTTATAAAAAAAATATTATTGGAATAAGTTGCATAACCAATCTATATTATATATAAAAAGTCATCCTATTTTTTAAAATTAGTAGCAAGAAAAGTCAAAGGACAATTAATACATTCTATTTTTGCAATGTTTTTTCAAAATTTTATTTGTTATTTATAAAAAAAATTGGTACATTTAATGCTACCATAAATTATGGGATTTGTTAAATTTGAATTTTAAATTTAAAAAAATCCTACCTAAATGTATTTTAAAATTTTTGGGGAAAGATTTATATTCTGAGGATTAAAAAAAACATTTTTATTTTATTCCCATCTTTCTCAAACAAACCGTCGAGGCTCCAGCGGGGAAAAAAAACTCACGAAGAAGGGCTGGAAAAAAAAAAAAGAAGAAGAAGAGGGTAAAGAGAGGTTGCATACGTAGATCTACATCTTCAAGTTGCAGACGTAGATTTACATAATTTATATTAATTATATTAGTAAAAAATATTAACGTACATTAAATATTTTTATTACATAAAATAAAAATAAGAAGAAGACTACTTCTATAACTTTTATAAATATTATAATAAAATAGTAACTAAATATTATGTGGTGAACAAGACTAAGTAAAATTGTTATTTTTTCTTATATGAAACAATAAATATATACACTATAATTAAATTTAAATTAGTGTAAACGTTTTAGCAAGATAATATATTAATTAATTAAACTGTTAGCGTTAACCGACTCAAGTTTAATACTCCGGCTAAAAGACAACTCTGATTGAAAGAGGTGGAAAATAAATAATCTAACTGTACTTTTTTCTTTTGTATAGATCGACCATGTATTAGTGATGTATTTAACATTTCTATCCCGTGCATCGTACGGACTACGTATCTACTAATCATGAACTATCCTTATTTCATAGTCATTACTCATTACTTTACACACTGAGCTCCGACTCAGTCTGATTCCACAACTGACACGCGAATGCCAGAAAGGAACCAAACGAGTGGAAGAAAAGCTTTGAAGACGTGGCAGTTGTTGGGGGCCCACTTTAAGCTCTTTCAGCCAATCATCAGTCAGCACTCGAAAAATATATAAATTTATAAAAATTATTTTTATCACTCACTAAAAATGAAAAATAAAAAATAAAAAATTGATTATTAATTTGTTATTATATATAAGTGGAGTCGAGTGATTGCTTATTATTCTCCAGTATATTGGGGGATTTTGTAGCATTCACAGAGATAAAAGCAGACGGCTGAGAGAGAGAGAGAGAGAGAGAGAGAGAGAGAGAGAGAGAGAGAGAGAGAGAGAGAGAGATGGAGGAAATTGGGTTCTTGGGGTTGGGTATAATGGGAAAAGCCATGTCCATGAACTTGCTTCGCCATGGCTTTAAGGTCACTGTCTGGAACCGCACTCTATCGCGGGTAAGACCCTTTTCTTTTCTTTTCTTTTTGAGGAACAGAGTGTTGTAAAAATCGCGTCTTTTTTTTTTTTTTGTCCTTTTGCCCATTGTATTATGTTCTTCTGTTGATGATGATTGTTGTTGTTGTTTGTGCCCATCTGTTGTAGTCTGGAGAGTTTTAATCTGTTATATTGTCAATTTATTAGTTGCCTAAACTGCTTCTTGTAATTGTTCATCTAAAAGTTTGGATCTTGAAATTTATCTCAAGCTTGAAGAGGCCGATTCTGAAGAATATATCTGTTGTTGTTGTATCCATTCTGTTTTCTAGATTAAGCTATGCGACGACCTTTTAAAGTTGCGGCAATATGTTGCCGACAAGGATATTATCGGGAGCCTCGTTTAGTTGTGAGCTTTATAAAAGATTTGCTTTAGTGAGAACATGTTATGTGTCCATCTGTTGATAATGCTTGTTTTGCTGAGCTGCCCTTGCAATTGAAAGTTGGGAGCATGAATCTCAAGATAGTAGAGTCAATTTTTCGTAAGTTGGTTTGTTCGGGTTCCATCTAGGAAGCACGTATTCTTTTTGTTAATGACATGTTTGTTCATTTAAGTATATTTGTTTTTCTTTTCTTCTATCTGCGTTCTTCAGTTTTACTTCCCGAGTGCCCTTAATACGGCAAAAGTTTATAGATAGGATATTCTAATGCAGTTCTGTCTAAAAGATAAATTTTCTGTACATTTTTTTCAAAGCTTACAGCCATGAAATGTAATTCATATGCTAAATCAAATTTGTTAAATACCGTTTATTATTGTTGTTTTCATCCAATTTAATAATATCTACGTAGGTATTGGTCCAAACCAATGTCTTATTTCATATAAAACATCACGACTTTTGTTTACAGTGTGATGAGTTGGTGGAGCATGGGGCGACTGTAGGAGAATCTCCTGCATCAGTGATTAAGAAATGCAAGTACACCATTGCCATGTTGTCTGATCCTGCTGCAGCTCTATCGGTTATGTCAATTCTATGATCCTTCAATTTGGTGGTTGTAATTATTTCATTATTGGACAAACAAACTCATGTCTTATTCTGGTTTGAAAATATATATATGTAGGTGGTTTTTGGTGAAGATGGTGTTCTGGAGCAAATTGGTACTGGAAAAGGCTACATTGACATGTCGACCGTTGATGCCGAGACTTCTTGCAAGATCAGTGAGGTCGTTGACTAAGTAACACTGTATTTAATTTCCTCGAAAGTCTGTTGTAATTGTCAAGTTGCAAGCAGTTATTTACTAAGATTTAATTTGCCTGTCGGCCATGCTCGAAGATCTTCCTATGTACAATTAAACCTTGCTTGCTACATATATCAGTTCTGAAACTAAAAAATTTCCGAAATGAAGCACGATAAAGTAAGTTGCAAAGTATCGTATTTTGATGGAAAAGGGAAAAATATTATTTTCAAGGTAACTTAAATTGCAAGTGGATCGGTTATGATTTTATAATGTACTTTTATGGTCTTAGGCTATCACGTCAAAGGGTGGTTCTTTTCTTGAAGCTCCAGTATCGGGTAGCAAAAAACCAGCTGAGGACGGTCAACTAGTAATCCTTGCTGCTGGAGAAAAGGTGAGAGATCTTACTATCTACAATACATGTTGTCTATGTATCACTCTCACTTTTGATTCATCGGCTTCGTATGCCTACTCTACAAAGAACACGATGAATATCAAATGAATGGCTTATTATTGTAAGTTAGCTTATGTTGCCGGTTGCCCATAATTTTTCTTCAACATCATGGTCCAAACTCCAGTGTTGCGTGCCCAATTCCTTTCTGTGTATATGGCTTGATTTCCACTCTTTTCTAAAGAAGTTTTTTTTTTTTTTTTTTTTTTTT